TTGCGCGAGCCATCTCCATAGCTGCAGCAGAAAAAGGGCTAGCGAAGAACATGGAAGGCTCGGGGGCTGCGGGCGAGCCGGGTTGCAGTGAAGACGGGTTCTTGGAGTCGGAGAACAGGGTGGGCGAGAGGTAGGGCGAGCTGAATGAGAGAAGATAGAGGGCGATGAAGAAGATTTCGTTCATGGCGCAGAGGGTGAAGAGAACTTTCTGCAGATATTGTCAGCAGCTATGACATGGAAAGGGTTACGCAACCAAACGGTGCCACATTTCCGACGTACGTTGTTTGAGTAGTACTGCTTCAGCAGCCAGTTCCTGCTCTCGTCGACATTCTTGTGGCTGCGCGCGCTACCACCCATGCTCAAAGTGGCATACATGTGCATGTAGTGACTCGCCAGGTCCAGGGAAATGAGCAGTTGGAACACGATGCTCCACCTAGGGAAAGCCTGGGCCAAGAAAACGAGCAAACAGGTCGTTGTGCATCTGTCTGTGACCATGTCCAACACGGCCCCGAATTTGGTGCTCTGTTCGTATTTGCGGGCGGCATAGCCGTCCAGTGCATCCAGAAGGCAGGATACGCTGTAGAGGAGAGTGCATGTGCGTGGGTGGAGAGGCATGTAGTAGAGCGATGTCAAGGCAAGGAAGACGCGCGAGTAGCCTGCCAGTCTGTTAGCTAAACCACGGGAATGGTGTGAGAAGAGCGGGCATACCAATCAAGTTGGGGATGAAGAGGAAGATGTTCTCTTGGGGGCCCTCGTGCTCCGGTCTGGGGGGCCTCACTGCTGCGCCATTGCCGTTGCCATTGGCTTGCTGTTGAACAGAGGCCATGATGGAATAGACTGTCTCTGTCGCGCAGTCGCGTTCTATAATTGCGAACTTAATACGTGCTGAACTTGTGGCCTGAGATATCTCGGATTACCCCGCTGCGCTTACTCTGGGGTGAAGGTCGAGTGTGTGCGCTGCTTACGCTCTGACGTACTAGGCAACAGCGAAGCGTGTAGTCAGAAGAAGAACAGATAGAGACTCGGAATCCAGCAGTCGTGTGTGATCCGATGCAAGAGGCCCAAGGCGACGCGTTGATGGTTGGGCGGAATGTGTCGTGTGAAGCCGGCGGCAGCTGTTGGAGCTGTGCGGGCCAGAAAGTTGTCGAATGTCTAGTCGGCGCCGATAAGCCGATAACGAACCTCTGGGCTGCAGGAAACTGCAAGGGTCGAGGAACACAGCGTCGTGGGACGAACCGCCGCAAAAGCAAAGTGGAGGTATGCAGGTGTCTGCGTGTAGTGTACGTGTCAAAGAGCAAGCCGAGTGCAGGTTTGTGGTACCTGGAAATTGAGCGCCAGAATTCCTTCGCCAGTTCGTCCGTCAGGTCCCGGCTACCCGCCTAAGCCAGATAGGGGCTTGCTTGGCATACGAAGTCAACCACACATCAGCCCCATTGTCAGCGTTGCCATTATGTAAGTGTACATTTCTCTGCTCATACTATGCAAAAACACTAAGCCCAGCTACATGCCTACTCCTTGAAGCCCTTGAAGCTCGACTTGGCCGCAATCTTCTTCGACTTGGACTTCATCTTGGACTGCTTCTCCTTTGCAGTCCTTGTGCTCATGCCACGATCCCCCTTGCCCTTCTTCCATTGTTTACCCTCCTTGCGCACATCCTTTGCTTCAAGCTTCTTCTTGTCCTTGCCGCTGAGCTTCTTCTTCTTGTCCTTACCTCCAGCCGGCCCGTTGAGCGCTGCCGCACCCCTCTCCTTTTCAGCCAACTTCTCCTTCTCCGTCTCAAACCATGTACGTCTCGGCCGAGCCTTGATCTCATCCTCGTGCACAATCAGGTTTTCACCCCGTTTGAGATCCCGCTCAGTGACAGTCATGGCACGCTCCTCTTTTTCTTCTTCCAAAACCTCCTCAATCTCCTTCTCCAGACTCTTGATCTTCTTCATCCATCTCTCTGTCTCCTCGGCAGGGACTTGACGGCTGACTACCTTGGCTCCTTGCTCGCGTGATGCCTTTACCGCTTGCTTGACCACTTTACGGTCAGGCTCTGCGGCAAGTGTACACGCTCGACCGCTTCGTCCGGCACGAGCCGTACGACCGACACGATGCAAGTAGATCTCGTGCGTCTGAGGCGCTTCGTAGTTGATGACTGTTGAAACATTCTTGATATCAAGACCACGCGAGGCAACGTCAGTTGCAAGCAAGTAAGACGACTTGCCGGAACGGAACGCTTCAACAGCTTGAATACGCTATGGGGTTGTCAGTATCGCGTCTTGTCTACAGTAGAGAAACCAGCCTACCTGTTCTTGGCTCATGTTACCGTGAAGCTCGCTCGCCTTAAGTCCACAAAGTGCGAATACTACTCGGACCCTATGCGCCTCTTTCTTTTGTCTGAAGAAGACGATGACCTTCTCAGTGTAGATCTTTTCACAGATGTACATCAAATATGCGAGTCTCTTGTCTTCTTTGCCTTGCCTCAATCGCACAAATTCCTGCGTCAATCCCTTGACGGTCTGTTTCTTAGAATCCACCATGAGCCGCACAGGCTTGTCCATACCAATTCGAATCAGCTTGTCGACTGAGCTCGTCATGGTAGCGGAGAAGAGCATTGTCTGACGTGATTTGGGGATGGTGGTGAGGATTTCGTTCAGCTGGCTCTCGAAACCTTCTTCGAGCATACGATCGGCTTCATCAAGAACAAGGATTTCGAGGTTCTCAACTTGAAAGGCAGCCGTGTTATGCATGTGATCAATAAAACGACCGGGCGTTGCAATGACCACATCTGGCCTCGTCTTCAAAACGGCTTCCTGCTCGCGCGAGGAGAAACCACCAGCCATCAATGCAAAAGTGATGTCGGTGAACGACGCGAGCTTCGTAGCAACATTGAAACATTGTACCGCCAACTCACGCGTAGGCATAAAGATGGCAACACGTGTGGTCGGAATCTTCTTCTGACGGTACAACAGACGCTCAAGGATGGGGATAAGGAAAGCAGCTGTTTTACCCGAACCGGTCTCGGCACCACCAACAACATCTTTTCCTTGCATAGCGATAGGAACAGCCTTGCTCTGAATTGGAGTTGGCTCCGTGAACCCTACGGATGCTAGGCCTCGTAGAATAGGTCGCGAGAGTGACATGGCCTGGAATGACCCTGTCGCTCCTTTTGCGCCTTTTTTCTTTTTAATTGTGACACTGTCTTCGGGCGCGAAAAAAGCGGCGGCCTTCTTGGCTTCGACGGCGTCTTCTTGCTCGCTCGTATCCTCATCTTCTGTCTCGGCAGCCTCGAGATCCATAGGGTGGGGAACATGAGGTAAATCTTCGTCTTCATCTTGATTGCCGTCTGACCCGTTCTCCTCATCAGAGTCCTCGTTTGCCCTGTCTTGTTCATTGTCTGAAGCTTCCTCCTCATCCTCTTCGTCTTCAGAGTCGCTGGGAGCACCCATACCGAAGCCGTCCTCCGCCATGAGCTCGTCATCGTCGCCGAAACCCTCAAAGTCACCGTCGACCGAGGTATCTGAGGAGTCTGGCTCAGCAGTTTGCTTTGCCCTCTGCTTATTCCGTCTGCGCTCAATGATGTCGTCGACGTCTACAGCAGTGCTCTTCTTTCCAGACTCCTGTGCGACCGTGCCATTGTCGTTTCCCCAACCGTCGAACTCCTCCACAAATCCCGTGTCTATATCACCGACAGCAAACTCGAAGTCGCTGGCAATGTCGTCATTTTGCTCAATGTCTTCGCCTGGCTGTGGCATTACGTTTTCGTCTTCGTCGTCTTCGGGCTCTGGTTCAGGCTCGGCGTGCTTTCCATTTTTTCCCTTCTTCTTGTCCTTCTTTGCCTTCTTTGAGGCGACCTCCTTGGGCCTGACACCCAGGTCCGGATCCTCTGTGTATTTCCTCTTCTTGCCAGCGCCTGCTAGCTTTGCGCTCGCCGCCGCCGACTCGTCGGCGCCACCATCGTCGGACACATCATCATGGTCAGAGATGGTGTAGACAAAATCGTCGTCGAAACTGGGCGCCATGGGTCCGAGGAGGAGGATTTGCAAGGAATTGTCGCGTTGTACAAATTTCACAAGTCGCAAGCGGTCGCAAAAAAAAGTTCGGCCCCGGGGATCTCTGCTGCCGCATCCCTGCAAGCCAAGGTGGGGCGCCGCTTCCGCCGCCGCTAACTCGTCTTGCACATGTACACTTCATCCACAACAGACCGACTGGATGCTATCACATACGCTTATCCAGGCCAGGGAGCACGACACGGCATTTGCTTGTACTAACTATGAATTTTCTGTCTGACAGCATGTCTTGCCTAATGCCACAAACGACTTCGTTGCAGCCATATCCAGGCTTCCCAACGGCCCGTGCCCACTGGCGCGTTTGTTGAACATAGACACAAGCTCATTGGGCAACGATCCCCCACCGCATTCAGAGGCCATGTTGATCTGGCTCGTATTCAGCAATACCGAAGGCATCATTTGGCCTAATATTGTCTTCCCTGTCCTGTACAAGGAAAGGCTACCATGTACACGCTTTCGTTCAACTGACACCACCCCACCGGCCATCACGCTCACTGACCTGGCATCTAACCAACTTGGCCTCCACCTCCAACATTTTACAGCCAAATCATCACCAACATATTGGAGTCTAGGCCTTGTAGCTCTGGTAGGATCATAGGCTAGCTATATGCCATACGTCATGCACATACAGCCGCAGAGCCTACACTGCTTTTCGGGGATATTACGGGAAGAGCGGCTATCCGTGTGCCACAACCGCCTTAGTATGGAGGCCTGAAGACTCCTTAGTTCAGGTCAATCACGAACAATTGGCTTGGGGCCAAAACTTAGGATCCATAATGACATCGATAGTGCTGTACAATACTGCACACTGTGCGCCTCTTCCTGCTCCACTCGTACTTCTCTCAAGTATAAGTCCAGCTTGTAGTCTCGGCATAATTGAAGCACAACACAGTCCAGACAATCATCTTCTCTCCTCCTTCATTAAACCAACAGCCACTCGCCAACATGCTCTTCTCTCGCCTTCCTCTCTTCGCAACCCTCCTCAGCGTGGCCACTGCTTGGGAAGGTAAGCCATACATGCTTAGCCTCTCATTATACTGAGCTGACCAACTTTGAAGCCACCTTCTACAATGCTCCGGACTGTGATGCCAATGGTCTGACCATCTACCGCTCAATGACTTCAGACTCATACGGCACCTGTATTGAACTTGACGGTACCTTATACACCGACGTCCAATGTCGACAATACATCAATGGCGGTGCTTCCAATTCAGAATGCACCGACGACAACATCTTCCCAATCTCCACTCTGTTCACATACGACGGCACCTATCAGTGCCGCTCTTACTATGCTGCTGGCTGCGAGGGACTGTACGATGAGCAATCGAAGCATGTAGTCGGTGCACCTTTTCAAAAGGAATGCGCGACTTATACTAAGCAGTACAAGTCTTTTGGTTGCACCAAGTTGTAAGTTATCAAGTAGGCATTTTCTTGGAGACGGCATGACTAATGCATTTTTCACAGCTCATCTTAATATTTGATCGTCGATGATTCGATGCAACGGCGAGATTTGTGGAAGCGGTGGACAAATGGTTTTGTTGAAGACACAAGGAAAACAGACTGACAAGGTATCCAAATTTCAGTCGGCTCTCAGAGCCAGTAGAACAATGATCTTGAAAACGATATTATTGCTATTAATGAAAAGATAATGATATCATATACTATACCACTACTTGTACCTCTCTACCCATATGCTGTAAATTGGGATTTCACATCACACTATAAAAACTTATTTACAAGGGAATCCGGTTACCAAACAGTCTTCGCGCATTCTGAGCAAAGATACCAGTCCTCTCAGTATCGGTCACAAATGGCGACGTCTGAATACCAACCAGTGACGGACCATACGTGAAAATCGGCGCATACGGGAAATCCGTCCCGAAGAAGAGATTCGTCGTCGGAATATCATATGCCAACAATCCCCCAACCTGGTGAAAGTACGTCGGACCCGCTGAATCCCAGAAAAACCGCGTCTTCAGGACATCGATAGTCCGATCGTAAATCGCCGGGAAAGACTTCAGAAGCCGATCAGCGACCGACGGAAATGCGCCTCCAACGTGCGGAATAATGTAGTTGATATTGGTGAAGTTCAGCAAAGTCTGTGTAACGGCAAGATCTCCAAGCATACGCGCTGTCTCGAAGTAGAATTCAATGTTCCCGGTAGGATATACAGTCGGATTGGCCTCAATAAGCGTGCCGTTGATGCGTAGATACGGTGTTGTGGGGTGCACGTATATGATTTGGTTGCTCCCACGCGCATTAATTGCCTCGAAGAAGGGCTTGAAAGCTGAATCACCGAGATAGCGCCCTTCGAAGTTCGAATAGAGCGCGATGCCAGCGGCTCCAAGTGTGTCGAGGGCGTATGTAGCTTCGGCGATGGCATTGGGAGTGTAGGGTAGTGGGACGACAGCGTAGAATGTGAATTTATCTGGATAAGCCCTAGCAAATGCTGCAGATTGTTCGTTGATCAGTCGCGCAAGGGCAATTGTGGCGGCCTGGTTTCCTGGGTATACGTTGGCGCCAGGCGCTGAGAAAGCGAGGACGGCTTGAGAAATGCTTTGGCTGGCCATGAAATCAAGGTGTCCAGATACGTTCCATGATGGTGTTGGATTTCCACCGGTTGTAGGGACGATTGCACGATACCAATCTGGTACGCAATGTGCTATGGGATCTGTTAGATGCAAGATTGAGATGTGAGAACAGGAACACACCATGAACGTCGATGAGTCCAGTGAGATTCGCAATAGCCCGCGCTGAGAGCTTTGTCGTGGTGGTATCGGCGTACGTAGAGGCTATACTTTCTAGTATAGAAGATAGAACCAGGCCCGGAACAGCCCCAAGGTCGATCGAGTCTGTATGGCAATAATCAGAAGTTTTGCAAGCGAATTCGGGGTATTGAATTCGTACCGGCGGTAGCGCGTTGGACGATGGACTGAATGACATCTGCTTGTTCATATCTCTTAGACAAGCCACTCTCACAAGTAGCGAACGCAGCTACCCATCCGATTAGGGTAAATGATTTCTGAAAAGCCCTCATCTTGATGTGATATGAACGAAACACGATGATGGTAGAAGATGTACAGAAACAAAAGTTTTTATGCCTTGCGTATAGTAATCGATAGGTACATGGCCCAGAACAGGGAAGTATTCCATCTCTAATTACTAACCAATGAATGCACCCTGAACGCGATCTGTAAGCAAAGGCATTGCAGTAGTACAGGCGGGAACGGATAAAGACCGTCCGCGCTAAGCCCAGATCTGTAAGACAGGCAAGGACATCTGGTAAGCGAACTGGAACTCTGCAAGCCATATATTTGTATGCACAAATTGATTGGACTATTCGGTAGGGCCAGACCTCTCTTATCAAGCATCAATCCATGTCCTGCTCAGCTGTGTGGGGACGGCTACTAGACATGTCCTTGGAAGCAAGGTACGCCACCAATATCCTCGGCAAGCAACATGAGTCCGCAGCTGGCATTTGGGGGCCAGTATCACCACCCGATTGACCGCAAGTCTTTTAAGAGCTCTGTCCATTACGCGAAAAATATGGTTTTGTCTTGCCTAGTAAAGAGAGAGGCCCTTGTAACGATTAATAGTTTCAGGCTATCCAGAAGATTTCATCAAAGACAGCTTCCGGGACCTCAAGCATCCCTTCAGGATCGTGCTGGAATGAGCTGTCCATCTCATCATAGAGGCTGCTATTCAAATTCAGGTACTCGGAAAGATTGCTCCCGACTTAGAAGCTGTCCTCGCCATCACCAACGAGAAGACCGTCCAGAGCGTAGGCTGCCCAGGAGGTCTCGCCAAAGGCAGTTTTCGGGGCGTCGAACATACCTTCGCGGTTATGTTTCACACGGTTTTATATTTCCCAAAAAAACCGTTTGTATTACACCGCCATCTTCAGAGCTCTTATTGATTGTGCAGAAATGTACGTCTATCAATAATCAAAGTGACAAGGGCTCTTTCAGCCAGCAACACGTTATCACGCACGAAAATCCAAAAAAAAACGGAAATTGAAGACTAAAATAACAAAACCCATTCACGTTTACCTGCTCTCACTTTCCCAAGAAGAAACAAGAAGAAACAAGAAGAAAATGTTTAATCATCGTTATCATCATCATCGTTATTCATTTTTCTTATCAAAAAAAGATTCTAAGCCTGAGCAGGTTCCCTCTCCTCAGCAGGAGGCCCACCCACATTACCCCTCTGCCCCGTCGGCACATCGCCCAGATTCCTCTGAGCAGCGTGCTTCGGATCATCCTTCAGCGTCGCAATATCCCCACCAGTCTGCTGATCCTTGACGCCGGACGCCAGTCCAGCAAGGCCCTGTCCAACACTCGATCCATCACGCAGCTCCTTGGACGTCTGGCCCTGGCCTGGGTGGCCGAGGCCAGTGTGCACGTCGGCGGATGTGGCGCCTTGCAGCGTGTCGGAAGCTTGCTGGTACATCTTTTGGTTGTTGAGGTCTGGGTTTGGAGTGTAGGTTTTGTCGGCTGGGGCTGAGCCCGCAGGGAGGGTTTGAGCGTGAAATTCGGGAACGGCGTCGTTGCCCACGAGTTTGCCGATTTGGTGCTTGGGGGTTTGGTTAGCTGGTGTTGATGAACAGGTGTTATCTATGGGTTAGATAGAGCCAGCACCAGATGCAATGTGATTGATCAAAACGCTCCAATAGGCTCTCTGGAAAATAAAACAGCTACTTACACCACCTTTCATGAGAGGCTCGCTAGGAGCAACGTGGCCTTGAAACTGGCGCGAGTCGCTGACTGCGTCGGGGTTCCTGTTCTGGCTCATGTTGGGATATGTGTATTTGGATTTGGGAAATTGAAAAGTGTCGACGATTTAAATTTGATGATGAAAGTGCAGAGGTTTGTATAATTCGAATGTATACCTTTCGTACAGGAGGCTATTTATAAGGCGAAGTTCGTATATGTATATAGAGGGCGTCACCACTTTGACATCAAGTCGACGTCATGCGTAGCCCACCACTAAGACGAGCGCTGAGGGCGTAAACAAATCTACTGGATGAGCGGGTACCTGACGTCGATTCTACGAGCTGGTGTGGCATGATTTAGTTTTCTTTTGTGGATGAATCGGCGATGGTGGACAGTTGGAGAAGTTGTCGTGAACGACACTAGTAATATGAGGATGCTCGGAATCAAGCCCCGGGTGCGTTCCGACGCACACATATCCCATTCGTGATATTTGGAAAAACCAACATATATTAGTTTCCTGAGAACTAAAAAGAAAATATTCAGTCGGTATAGTTCAGCATAGTAGATAGTTTCACACGATATTCGGACCGCGAACACCACCCGTACAGGACACAGAATATGAACTAGCATACAGTGATATTTATGTATATTGATTCTTAGAAATTACATTACACTACACTTATTCAGTGTCAACCGAGTTTCATGAATATTCTCATCTGTCCTCAACACCCACTTCTAATAGACGAATTCTTATGAGCGCAAACCCCGAAATATCGCATTTAGTAGCCAGGAAGCTGACCGCGAACAGCGCCAGCAGTAAACTTGGAGGTATGCGAGTCGGTAAAGAAACCCTTGGGGTTCTTTACAATCTGGGAGACATGGAAGCCATCGGCTTGGTCTTTACCAGTCGCTGGGTTGGTTACGTTGACGAAGAAGGGGCCCTTCAAGCATCCCACAGAATTGCGACGGTAGTCGGGACCAGTGGGGTTCGGGAAGGCCTAGAAACTATCAGTAGATACCCTTTGTTTCCCCGGACATGGGTAGATTGAGATATCAAAAGGGCAATGCTTACCAGGCGGGGCGGGCCGGGCTTGCCCTTGACGCCCTCATGGATGTGTGTCGCGGTTATCGCTGGGCTCTGATATTCGCCAGTCACGCCGCTAAGGGTGATGTTGTAGCAGATTACGTTCTCTGCGATATTGATGCCGTACTTGAATAGACCACGTGCACCGTGCTCACCGGGTGTAGGAACGCCGCTGTTGGCAATGACTTGATCCGGAGTGGCCTTTACAACATACTCCGCGTCAAAGTAGAAAGTCTTCTCCTTCTTCCACCATTTGTCGTCGTGTGAGTTCCACACCTTGTCAAAGTCTTTCTTGCAGGTCTCTTTGTAATCAGATGCCTGAGTTGGGGCTGCCAAGGCCAGAGGGGCAGCGAGCAGAGCAACAAGGGCTGGGGCAATGAAGTGCATTATGATTGTGTTGTGCGGAACTGCGATTTCAGCTGTGCGTGGTTTGTGGGTGTAGTGAGTAGAGTGAGTTCATGGAACGATGCTATCCTGAATTCATCCTTGCACCAGTCTTTATACAAAAGCAGCTCTCCGCTTTCCCACTAAACTTACCTCAATGCTTCCCATTCAGAACCCAATGACATCAGTGAGTAGATGAGGATTGGTCATTGATTCGTGTTTAGGTTCTGAAGATAGATGCCGGTGTCTTGGTGGGGCTTTTGGGACTGAGCAGCCAAGTCCCCAACATGGGCATGAAAGCCTTTTTCGTAATGCCAAAAGACTTGGAGAAAGACTTGGAAATTGAGATAAATGCCCGAGCTCTTGGTTAGTAGTCTTGGAGCCATCCTTAGAACGTAAGACGATCACTGACAGTCCCACGCAAAGCTACTGAGGTAAGCAGCTGGCCAGGGGATTCATCAGTTCGTAGCACGATAGACCAATGAACGGTGGATTATAATGGTACCGTGAAGACGCCGTTCAATGTCTTGGTAATGGTACTTTCCATCTCTTGAATAGTGAGCTTACATCCCTTACTGTGGCATGATCGCTCCCAAGACATCGCCTAGCCATCTTGGTTCGGATAGATCAAGATCCGTAGTCGTCTCAATCCTCAAATGATCTTAGCCTTTCCGCGTCTTCCCTCTTGGATTGTGGTGCATATGTCTAGGTGGCTGTGTATGACAAAAAGGGATAGTGAGGCTAAGACGCTACTGCATATTCTGCAATCTGTGATTACTACTACTGTCGATCTGTGAGAACGGTTGAAGAACCGATTGAGACAGATGATCAGCATGTTCTCATGAAGTTATTTTGCACGATGGAACACAACGAGGCTTGGAGATTGGTTTGAAGAAGATGTTTGGGGGTGCCTGAGAGAGTGATCACACATTCGATGGGGAGAATGAATGACATCACCGATTACCACTGCCAAGACGTCGGCCTTTCCTCTGCTTTCCCCCTCATCAACCCGCACGCTAGTCTCCAAACGAGTCTGGGCTCGAATTGCAGTACCAAAAAGGAATACAAAACTTACCTCAAAGAGGTGGGATGATCTATTTGGAAAAGCTGCAGTCCGTGCACGGTGCAATGGTTTCTGGCAGACTTGGCATGATGCCCTGCCGAGACACTTGTTAAGGGGACATAGAGTTCTGAATGGTTGAGTGAAGAGTAATCACCCATTTCCTGCTTGTAAATATGAGCAAGGCTTCACAGAGGGTCATTTACATAATAGTTGAACACTCTGTATCTACTAGTGCATGTGCTAACCCATCGCTACATGAAGGCCTATACCGTCCGATGCTGTTATTAAGTGTTTCTTCCAGGAATTTTGTTATTGCAAGCTCCTCTTCCCTAGTCACAAAGTGAATTCACCGAAGTTTTTTGGTGGTATTAGTACACAGTTGAAAGGCAAATACTGCTCAGAAGCATCGCTACATCCCAGAATCATCATCGACCATCCTGTCCGAATGGCGTATAGTGCCTGTGAAGCGCCCCGTACCACCAGGAAAAAGACCATCAAACTCAACAGCGCGCGCTTCCTCGTCATCCTCCCAACCAGTTTGCAAGTTCCAGCCATCCTCGAGGACATTTAATTCTGATGAATCGACTTCTTGTATGATGTCGGCAAGATAGGTCCACTTGGTGCTCATCATTGCAGGAGAAAGGGCGGCCATGCGCCGGGTGAACCATGGGTGACGCGAAGCGGCGACAGCACCCTGACCGAGGTCGATAGCTGTCTGGTCAAATGGAGCGTGAGTGAGTTTGGCATAACCGCACGATATGAACTCAACCTCTCGAAGAGAAGTTTGGCGTTTGCGGTCAGCCTTGGAATAGTTGGATTCAAAATCAGAAAGATTAGTTCCAGGCGAGATCTGGTCGATGATATCCATCCATGATCCTTCGCGCGGCCTTGCTTTGAGTGGAGACTGATAATCTGTGGCGGCGAGATTGGTCGCTGGTATCGGAGCATGCATATGTTGTTGTCCTAAGGGATGGTGCTGACCAGTCGTAATCTGATGATGTAGTTGGTTTACTTGGGCAGCGATATGAGTGATGTTTGTGAGAATCGCATTAGGATGGATTGGCTGATGCTGTTGGGGTTGCAGTGGTGTTTGTAGTGGAGCTGGCACTAGGGCTTGATTCGGTCCCTGTCCTTGGTGTTGCAGAACTAGGTTCTGCATCTGCATCTGCTGGAGTTGCTGTTGCAACTGAACTTGCAGAGCGGCAATGTGGTTTTGCTGTAGCGCAGCTGCATTTGCATGGAGCTGCTGAAGTTGTAACTGCTGAGCATGGACGTAAACTTGCAGAATCTGTTGATGGGCAGGTAGGAAGTGGGGGATTGCGGGCATTGCCGCTTGAGCAGGGGCATTCTGGACAGCGACGGCTTGATGGGGTACAAAATTTCCATTGGCGTTAGGATCATTGGGACGTAGCATCGCTGTAAGCGAAACGGAATCAAGTACCAATTCCTTCAAGCGATATGCATCATGGACTTTGACAAACTGCAGTAGACTAGAAGGAGTGATCCAGCAGTTCTTTAGCTTCAACTTCTCGATGTGGGGCAACTCAAGGAGTAATGCCCGCAAAAGAGCTGCATCGGCCTCAACAAGCGCTGCGGGATTGACAGATGCAGGACGATCCGAAGGAACCCGCAAGTCCATGATAGGAGCAGGACATAGAAGTTTGTTCCTTGCATAGAGCCCCTCAGCATGCTCACCGCCAGCCGTCCAGCCGACGGTCAGTTTTCGAATGTTTGAGCGGCGAGCGATATGATCGCGAAGTATGGCAAATAGCATATTGGCCCCTAGAACAGGATTGACTGCTGAAGTAGTAACGAAGCCGGCTTCATCCTTGTGAACTGTTCGCCATCCCGGTATCACCATAAGAGTGACATCGCAAAGACTGGGTAGTGCATCCCAGAAATCCGAACGGTTCAGCATTGGCAAGTAGCGATCAGAAAGTCCTGCGATATTCAGAGTGTGTACTTGTTGAAATGTAGAAGGGTTATCGATGATAGAGAGCATGTATGAAGATATGAAAGCTCGCTGGGCCCATTCCGTTTCCAACAACCACTCTTGCTGAGCCGTGGTGAGGTTGGCAGGTATGATCGGATTCACGACTTGTCCAGCATCAGGTGGCGAGGCAGATGATGCGAACAAAATACCAGTACCTAATGAAGAGGGCGTGGATACGAAACGTTCCAAGACGTATGGGTCATCAAAGGAAGTAGGCATAGGGATGTCAAGGATATCGTGCGGAGTTGCCTCATGTATCAGCTGAGGATCTAAGTAAGGCATTTCCGGTTGTACGCCGGCCAACAGGCCGGCATCTTTTAGTTCAGACAGAGGACGTTGGCCTTCCATTCTGTAGAGAGTTGCGTGTCTGATATCACTGCCGACTTCCTGATAGCATGAATCAATGTGTCTCCAAAGCTCCTGTTGAGCTTGGGCCCTACGGTCCGGGACAGCTTTGTTCGTTCCAAAAACATTGGAAGGTCTGTGGAAAATGCGCGCCCGTATAGACTTGTCAGGCCCGTTGAGCCAACCAAGGCCACTGTCGATTGAGAGTGC